GGTGACCAGTGACAGGACCCGAGGGAATGGAATGAAGCTGCGTCGGGGGAAGTTCAGATTGGACCTTAGGAAAAGGTTCTTCACTGAGAGGGTGGTCGGTCACTCAGACAGGCTCCCCAGAGAAGTGGTCACAGCACCAAGCCGGTCAGAGCTCAAGGCTGTGGCGGTGTGCCTTTCCCCCCACCCCTTCCTCGGCTCCTGCTCAAGCTATAATGTCAGTGAAGGTTGTGATGGGTTGCACCCGGACTTTGGGGGATGGATGGCAACATAGGAACCAAATGCTGTCTGGAATAGGGACCCAGATGTCTGGCTGGTATGCAAATATGACTATAGGTGAATCATATTACTCTATAAATCGTGGACAGCCTAGGGCCTGTTGAGCTCTCCTGCACTGCAGTGGGCTGCACACCAGAATCTCCCCTTGGGTAGGGACACCTCTTAAGGTTACTCCTCGACCTTAAGAGATTCCTTGCCACAGCAGATCCTCAGTAAGTGGCTTATAACATCCTAAACTTTGAAATCTTAGCTAAGTGATATAAAGGATTGATGGCACATATATAATCCTTTAAGACATAAACTGTTGACCAAGTCAACTGGGATGGATCCAGCCACACCCAGACTCCTCTCCGAGAAGGAGTCCTTTCTGAAGGGGGTCCTTTCTGAACCTCATGACTCAATGGGAGAGTCTCCCTGGCAGCTCTGTCTGACCCTGTCCTCTATGCAGTAAATAACCAAGTGTACCTTGCCATCAAATCTTGTTAAAACATTGTTGCGTTTACTACCAAACTTTGTTAAATCACTGTTTTATATCAATAAATACTTTGCTGCTTAGCTTTTAGGAGTGAAGGGCATCACTCCATCCACAACAAAGGTATGTCTGGATGATGCTCTTAGTCGTATGGTTTAGTGTTAGGTAGTCCTGCGAGGAGCAAGGAGTTGGACCTCATGGGTTCCTTCCAACTTGAGATATTCTATGATTCTATGCTCGAATTGTGGATGGTGATGGGGCTCCAAGGGCTGATTCAGATCTACTTCTGCAGAGCTTTTGGCTGCCATTCTGGGCTGGAGCCACTTCCTACCCTCCTTGGTCCTGTCTACGTGCGCCCTGCCGC